TTATTAATCTTTTTTAACATTAGTTAATAAAAATGCAACAGTTCATTCTAATGGAGCGCCAAAATATTTGACGGAAAATTAATTTGAAGGGCCGAAATCATTGACCGAAACCGTGATGTTTAATGCGATATCTATGCTGTTTTTAGTTGATGCGTGAGCAAAACTTCATTAAACATTAGGCCTATTTGTAGTGTTTCTGCCATCTAATAATTGCAATAAGCTTTGTGCTTTGTTATTATTGATATGAAACATGCACTATACTATAGTCATTGTATTTTTACTTAACCTGTCGTTTTCATTATTTAATGTATGTTTGAATAAATCTCTCATGGAAAGTATTTTATTACAGACAGTTTAAATGTTTATATTTCAGCAAAATGGAATAGAAACATAATTATGTTCATTCAAATGTTGACAAAAACTGGCTATTGTGCAATTTAAATGTTTATATAGTGTTGCTTATTGAATATTTTTTTTCTTTATTTATTCTTAATCTTTAATTTCGGATTTGGATTTTGACTAAATGAAAACTTTAATTTCTGTTTTGGTAAAAAAAATTCCACACATCACTAGTTCACTGTTATTAGGTCCATTAAATAATATGTAGATATATATATATAGATAGATATATTAGTAAATGTTGAAATGAACACATAGCTTAAATGTTAACTAATGTAGTTAATGGAAAATAGCACCACAGTAAAACAAAGTGCACTCAAATTTGCTGAAATTTCAAATACATTGTAAAATAATATATTTTTTGACAAAAAATACAGTGGAAAATCGAATCGAAATCCCTACTCACTCATAAATACTTCACTTGTTTTATTACTGGATGAATCAGCGTTTTTGAACGAATTTCTTTAATGAATGATTCAATGACAATTAAAATTTTTAACAGTCATTTGTCGAACAATGTAATCGACATATGAATGTTCCTCTCTAGAGTTCATTTTTCTAGCTAACTAACAAGTTCATAGTCACCGAATGTTTTTTTCTGAGGTAAACGTGACGTTTTGTTTACAAGCTGTTATATTGACGTCTTTCTGCAGTTGAAACACTGATTGAGCGATTACATGAGACAGGATACGGATTTCAGTAAGTTGGACTTTCTTTTAAAACGGCGCCAAAATGGTATTTATTTGAATATTGTAATAAAATGGAATTTAAAATCTGAGACTTAGTTACTAATCAAAAGTAACAAAGCACAAAGCGTATTGCTATTTACTGGATGGGAGGCGTGCTACAATGATCCATTTAAATATCTGAAAACAGGCTAATCGATTCTTGGGATTTAAGAATCAACATCGTTTCGTAAAAATGAGAATCGATTAAAATCGACAAATCAATATATTTTTTTTACCCAATCCCTTAAATTTACTAGTGAATTTTTTTTTTTTCCAGTGTTGATCATTCAGTCCATGATTAAAGTTCTTTGACTCTTTGGTTAGAAATTTAATCTAGGCTCTCAAGAAAAGTCCAGCTTTTGAGGAAGCGGATTGCTTTTGTTTGCAGAAACCAATCATCCCAAATTCGCAATCACTGACACTTCAGCATATGAAGAAACCTGGATGACACAGTCAGTAGCCCTGGGAGCCCTCGTCTCTGTGTTGGTTAAGACGTTTAGTGAGTGGGTGGGCGGGTTGGTTATCTCTCAGCCTGTAAAACTGGTAAAGCACAGACTCTTCAAACAAGAGAGACGGGTCATCAGGGTTCAGCTACACCAAGCCGCTCCACCTACACATGCTGCTCCCACTCTTACACTCGTCCGAAGATAAATAAAAAACCAAGACTAATGTATGTTCAGAGCTGAAATGTGCTGGCCGACTGTCATGTATAAGGTGCAATTATACTGTAATCACAGATTGCCAGAGATAGTGCCATAACTTGAGCATTAATGCTGTGTTCACATGGAGATGAATGCTGCTGCGTTTCTAACATTATCTGGGATTATTCTATTAATATATGTGGACTTAAAGGTGTAGTGCAGTCTGTGAGATGGTGCAGTTTAATTTACTTGGGTAAATGAAATTTTAAGCTTTTTGGTGATTCAAATCAGGGTTATTAACAGAAACAAAAATTTTAAGCCATAAAAATCATAACTGAAAAAAAACCATTAACTGAAATAAAAATGTGTATTTTTGTCCCAGCTAATTGCCAAAGCGATATTTCTTGTTTAACTTGATTTATTAAAAAACTAAAACTGAAATAAAATTTTTTGGACATATAATAAAAAACAAAAACTATTTAAAATGACAAAAACACAAAAAATTACTAAAACTTTAACTAAACAAAAATGAAAACAGAAAATTGAAAATACAAACTGATTAATAAAACTATTAATAAAAACTATAATACTCTATCAGTGATACTAAAATAACACTTATTCACCAATTTCATACATTTCAATATAATGCAAAAATTCGTTTTATATTACATCACTTTTTGTTATTTTCAGAATGTTCACTGGAATATCTGAATTGATAGTTAGATACTTGAAAAACAGCTAATTTGCTTTAATTTGCTGTTTATGTTTGTTTTATTGCTTGTAATTTGTTTCTTTATTAGGGCCCAAGCCACTAGGGGCACAGGACCCTATTGTTTTTCTAAGGATTATTATTATTATTTTTATTTCAAGGTTTTTGGGGCCCTTAACATGCTCAAAAACTCTTGAAACTTTCATACATGTTGGAATCTGTGGCCATCAGGGCCGGACACGTTCACCGGGGGGGCCGTGGCACAGCCTTCAAAAAGTCAATTTTTGAGGGGCTTTGTAGTGCACACTGTTTGACCTACAGTCACCAAAATTCACACACATGTAGAGCTCATCAGGCCGAACAACTTTCCGCCCATTTTACAGTTATGGTTACTGTAAATGCATGTTACACCGTGGTTGCGGTGACGCTGGAGGCTTAGGCCCGTCATCGCTGCTTGCAGCTGTATTTCATTTTGTTTTATTTACTCTTTCTTTAAATAATTGCTGAGAAACCCTGAAGCAATGTTTACTCAAATACTTGAAAGCTGTATGCCATTATTTAAATATTAATGCAATATTAAAAATATTATGATGTGTGAATAAACATATTAATTAGGGATGCTCCGATAGATAGACCAGAGATCTGTATCGGCCGATAATCACATTTCATGACTCGATCGGTACTCACTATTTGGCTGATCTCACGAACCGATCGCAATTTGATGACGTCAGCGCCTGACCACGTACCTGATGCGTGGGACATAAATAATTTTAAGCCACAGTCATGTCATCGCCGGTGTGGAAATGCTATGACGTTTCGAGAAACAATAAAAAATATGTTTTGCATGATGATGAATAGACTTGTGCCGGTATTCGGTGATGCGATATATCACGGTAATGAATATGCACAATATTGTTATCGTGGGCACTTCTAAATACCGTGAATAATTATATATAACAAATTATTCAGAATTTTGAATGCATTTTAAGAATACTTTTCCCATAAACTGGTCAAAATGCACAACACCGCTGTATGCTGCCTGAAAGACGCGTGCTCACTCTGATGTAAATAAGTGCGGACGAGAAGCACATGGCGGAACATGTGAGAGACGCTCTGGATGAAAGCGCACTTTCACTCTCTGACAGCAGATGGCGCTAAACTGGAGAAATAATAATAATAATAATAATTCATTTACATGCAGCCGTTACCCCGTAAACCCTGTAAACAAAGCAGCTGCACTACTTTCTGTTTCTGAATCATGTTTACACAAAGCAGCGCTGAGCTCACAAACTCTGCTTATCAGGAATATAACATGGAAGATGAAATGAAAATGACACAGAAAATTTTCTAAAGATAGTCTTCCTTCAGAAATACAGTGATATAAAAACACCCGCGCCTCGTTTTGATTTTTAAACGTGCAGTACGTGCTCATGTTTATTCAACGAAGCCTTTTGGAAAATCGGTCAGTTTTGATATTGTGGCGAGCGCCACAAATAAATAAATGTATGGGAAACACATCCCACAGCTCAACCACCTGAGCCCAACTTCAGTCTACTCATCACCTTAACTTTAACTGTGTTTGTAGCCGGCGCCATAGCCAGACTGATAAACACACAGACCGGAAGTTAACTTCGGGCCAGGCGCGTGCGCCCGATGAAACCGTCTATATAAAGCTTGAAGCATCAGAATCGGTATCGGCCGATCACCATGACAAGAAATCGGTACTCAGTATCGGCTGCAAAAATCCTGATCGCAGCATCCCTAATATTAATGAATGATCTGTTTTTAATTAAAGTAGTTTTATATTACATCTTTTTACTTTTGTATTTGTTTTTAGCTTTCTGGATGTTTTCTTAAAAATACAAGTTTAAAAACCAGTTTAGTTTTAACTTCTTCTCGTTTATGTTTATTCAGTTGCTTGCTATTTTTATTTATTTTTTCATGCCATTGTTTTAATGGAACAATTAAAGGAGTGTTTAGTAGGATAATCGCTTATTGCTGCTGTATTAAAATTCATATTGTGGCAAACACCTTTCTTGTTTTCTTCAGAATTATTTTGTTCTTACGTTAAGTTCTTTCCATAACTGTAATCAGATGCCTCGTGATGCATTTTAATGTCAAACAGTTTCCATATTCCATATTCAGAAGTTGCTACATCATTACACCCTCAGTACTTGCATATGGCTTCATTTTTCTTACCTGTCTCACTTTACTTGTTGTAATCGTTTTATTTCCTAGAAGCATTTTAATGTTAAAGAGGTTTACAGCGGTATGCGTACATCATCATGTTCGGTTTTCAGCACATGTTGTTGTATTATGTACAGTGAGTCGTGCAGCGTTTTTTCTCTCGGGACGAGGGTGATTTAACTGTGCTTTTTAGCATCCCGAACACTCATTTCTCAGCACATATGCCTGGCTTTCCATGCTTTAAACAAATGGACTTAGCTTTTTCCTCCCTTACGCCACATTATCATTAATCGACAGTGAAATTCATGCATCTGTTCTGTGTTTGTCGTTGCTCAGACACTGGAGGAGCCCCCTTACCTGACCGTTGGCACTGACGTGAGTGCCAAATACAGAGGGGCGTTCTGTGAGGCCAAGATCAAGACCGCCAAGAGACTCGTCAAAGCAAAGGTGAGTCGCAAACGGGACGTTATTTCTGCTGTTTGGGATCATTTAAAGACATGTTTTGAATGTATGGATGGTCAATATTTAGAGAAGACTTTTATGCACGTTTGAGGTGTCAAAAAATGATTATGGTAAATAAAAATTTGAAGAGAGGTCTTAATTTTGTTTGTTTGTTGATGTATTGTTCATCTCTACTTCTGAAAGTAAATAATGTCAGTCTAATGTTTCTAAATATGTATACATGTCTCTTCTACTCACCAAGGCTGCATTTATTTGCTCAAAAATACAGTAAAAATGTGAAATATTATTACAGTTTAAAACAGTTGTTTTCTATGTGAATATATGTGAAAATGTAATTTATTTCTGTGATCAAAGCTGGATTTTCAGCATCATTACTCCAGTCTTCAGTGTCACATGATCTTCAGAAATCATTCTAATATTCTGATTTACTGCTTAACAAACATTTCTGACGATTATCAATGTTGAAATGTTTGAAGTTGGAGAGCAAATGGAGTCCCGTAATGAATGTGTTTTCATTGCTGTCTCTTCCGAGGAATCGCCCTCATTCCCAATGAAATATTTTCCTCTCAAGCGTCCTCTCTCTGTCTGCTCTAGTCTGTCTCCTCATGTTTTTCTCCTGATGGCTCTCTGATATTTTATAATTCCTCTCTCATAGTCCTGAAATGTGATTAGCTGCCTGCTCGCAAACCAGAGACCTTGTTCAAGGTTGTAATCATATTCCTGCCGTTGTACTACTGATGACGTCGTTGCATCTCTCTCTCTCTCTCTCTCTCTCTCTCTCTCTCTCTCTCTCTCTCTCTCTCCCCGAAGCTGTGTTCATGCATTAGTTAAAGAGTAGTCTTTACACGGCACATTCACACTTTAAATAAGAGCAGAGCATTGGAGCTCATCATGTTTTTGTTTTATGTTCCTACAGTCTTATTCATTGATCAAGTGCATGTGTTTTTATGTCTTTCAGACTTCAATATTTGGTTTTCTGTGTTTCTGTAGCTCAAAAAAGTAGAGCACTAGCAACATCAAGGTCATGGGTTTGATTCCCAGGAAATGCATGAATTGATCAAATATATACCCTATACCTTTATATACAAATAATTTTAGATAGAAGTGCCTGCCAAATGCAAAACGTGATGGAAATGTGATGTTTTACAGATTCTACACAGTAAATTTGAAATCCGGAAAACAACACCATGAGAGTTAATTTCAACACTTTGAAAGTGTATATATGAGAACCACCCACAAAGTGTTAATTTAACACTTTCAAAAGTGTTGCCTCATGCAACACCAACACAGTGTTAAAATATGAACACTAAGAGAGTGAAATATTAACACCGATTCAGATAAAAACAACACTGTTACAGAGCTGAGTGCAGCTTAGTAGGAAACACTGGCAGAGTTAAAATTCTACACTATTCCGGTGTTGACTTGACACTTTGGAAAAATGGAAATCACAATATACTCAACTTTATAAAAGAGTCAAAAGTTACACCATCCTGGTGTTGATAGAACACTTTTTTGGGAGTTACTTTCTTATTATGGTTCTGCATTACCTACTAAAAAACTGTAAAATAAACTAGAAATTCACTATGAAGAAAACGTTACTCTGTTACGGTTTCAAAACTTTATTTCAGCACAGAGCAAGAAACCATAATGCCATGACATTATTACAAATAACAGTCCACAACAATGTAAAAAAGACTGTCATTGTCATAGGACATTTGTAAATCAAATGGTACATCAATTCCTCTGTGTTTTTTTTTGAGTACAAGACTGTGCTCTTGTTCAACAACACTGAAAGCATGAAGGTGTTCAACAAACTCTGATTCCTTATCTCCCTCTGGGACTACATCTCCAAATATGAGAGGGATGTTCTTAATGAGACACAATGTCTGGCTTGCATCGAGACCAATGTTGTTTCCTGCTTTCAACAATTGACATAATTACACTGTTTGCAACACCGTTACCCTGTAATTTGGCTATTATTGATGCACACCTTTCCCTCGAACTATCCCTTGAAACAGAAGAACATTCATGCAAACACGCATCATTATCTGATCTTTGCTCTGTGTCAGACACAACAAGTGACACTGCTTCATTGAGATCTGGAGCTTGTTGATTTTGTAGAGATACAATTCCACTGCTTGGTGCTACACCCCTAAAATGAAATCTAGTTACATGTTTTCTAAACCCTTCATAACTTTTAAATTGCAAGGAACAACCATCCTGATCACAAACCAGATCAAATTTCTTACCAGGATATAAACCATGTACAAGTTTTAGGTGCCGAATTAATTTTGCTATTGTAGCAAACAGTGACTTACAGATGTAGCATCTAAACATCATTCAAAAACTTAGCTCTAAGCTCCTTTACTCTTGGGCTCTCACTTGTGGTGCCAACATCAATTATGTACACTGTAGTCTGGAGAAAAGTGTACAAATTTTTGAGTGGAGGATCATAACTGAGGCTGAAAACAAAATGAACCTTGAAGAGTTCATCAATGGCTGCCAGTGAAGAGGATTCTTGACAGGGGATGAGCTTTTTATCCACCACAATGAAGTAGTGACTGATGGCTTCCTTGCTGCTCCCCGAGGCAAGAATGTATGGCTGACGATTCTCTTCCAGCTCAAGGTGTTCCTGTATACTCCGGCATGCCTAAATGCGGGAAAAAAAATAAAGTCTATCAATAATAATGATAAATTAAAGAAACACGTCTTACTGGTTTAGACTCAATTTGAAACAAGATTATGTAAAAAATAAAAAAAACATCAAAACAACTTTCATAATATCAAAACAGCAGAGACACAAATTACATCGAAATAAGGAAACTTTTTATCTGTTATAACCCCTCATTTACAAGACAAAACGCGAACCTTTGAGAAATGATACCATTTTCGTCTCCGTGTAAACTTTCACTCTCCTCCTCCTGCACTCCAAATAAGCGCGCGCGTCTTCATCTATTGTATCCGGAAAGACTGCAATACAGTTTTGCGCTACGTACAGCGCCCCAATGGTCAAACCTCTTTATTGCCGATACTTATATTAGTTACGTTACATTAGGCCTTTACATAAAAAATATCTGTTGACAATTATTTTAATTTAAATTTTTTTTGTCCACTAATCGTTTCAGCACTACGGATCCGGCTAAATACCTATATCCTATTTCTACCCATATTCCACGACTTTGTTAAAAACGAACACAAACACATATTACAGTTTTTTGTTCCTTAAAAGGTAACTTAACTGAGTGCTTTAATTCACTACAAAAAAATGTAAACTAATCACGTTTGACACAAATCATATAATGCTGCTCAAACATTGATATTAAAAACGTATCAAGTTACCAAAGTTCAAAACCATGACTGTCTCAGAAGCATGGTCAACGATCAGCAGAAATCCAAGCCAAATCTTAAAAACAAAATCTGAACAATCTGTTTTAGACCAATGAACATCTTGATATAACCAAATCTTAAAAACTAAATCTGAACAATCTGTTTTAGACCAATGACCATCTTGATATATAAATTTTCTGGTAACGTTATTAGACTGCAGAAATTCCATGCGCCACATTTCGCCTATAAAATGGCGCGCGTGCGACTTTAGACTCGTTCTGAAAAGAACACGATCAGACTTTAGTCAATAAAAATGATTGCTGTGTGCGACATGAGATGACAGACGAAACTACGCATATTCAAAGCTTTAATTCATTAATAAAGCGGCATGACATGCTGAATTTACAAAAATCACACATCAGCGCTCCTTGGCTGTCTTATTCATTATTAGAATTATTTGCGATCGAAAAATAGATAAGACTAGGACAAATTATAAATATTAGAATCAATTTAGAGAGTTAACGTTTGCAACTACGTAAAATGACACCAACTCTTATTTTAAAACTGACACTTCTGGTGTTAGACCCATTCTGTTCAGTGTTGATCCAACACTTTATTGTAACACTGGAAAATCAACACTGGTAAATTTACTGTGTATTGATATAAATATCTCATCAAGATAATGTTATTTAGCTGTCTGACCTTAAGGTTTTAATTATTTTATTAGTATTATTTAATTTTAATTATTTTTTTTATTATTAGTATTTCATTGAATTATTATTTTCATTATATTTTATATGTAATTTTAATATTGGATTATTATTTTTATTTACATATTTTTAAAACATATTCATAATGCATATTATGCAAAAGTTGATGTAGTCTAAGGATTAAGTTTATCACTGTCAAAAAGCAGAAATAAAATCTGAAATAATAATCAGATTAACATATCAGGTAGCAGACATTTGAACTAATCTGCAATGTTTAAAATAATCAGTGTCCGCATTGGTCATGATATAGATGGATGGATAGATAGTAGTGCTGGGCGGTATGACCAAAAATTTATATCACGGTATTTTTCAAAATTATACCGGTTTCACGATACATGACGGTATTTTTTTTTCATGCATGACCGGGTGTTAACCATATTTTCTACTGATTGAGAGAGGAAATACTGCTATTTATTTACTTCACAAATAAAGACGCATTGTTTCGGCCCCACTAATGTCCCGGTGCATCACATCAGTTCATTATTTAGTCTTTTATTCTGGTGATGTTTGAAGTTAAAGTTTGCTGGTTTTCTCTGTGCGTACTCCTCCGTGTGTCCAGACAGTGACTGTAATTGGAGGTTTTTTCGCTGTGGAGCGATCAGAGCTTCATCAGACGCGACTGCCGTGAGATGCTGAAGTGTGAGACTTATCTCTGCTGAGCTGGAGAAATGCATGTGTGGCCATAAAACAGTGTGAGAAATAATGGACTTCACAGAGTTAATGGACTATGGACTTTCTCATATTATTAGTACATTTATGTATATTATATCAATGTATTTAAATTTTGTTAATATTTCTGTTTATGGGATTATCTCCGAACAATACTGGACATTTTATGATGCTGTTTGATTTATTTATTTTTTTATTCTATTCATTCATTTATAAAAAACAAATTATAAAAAATAAAAATAATAAATAATAATTTATAAAAGTGTCTGCTAAATGCATAAATATGAACATCATAAACTTAGTTTAGATAAATAAAATATAATTACAAAAAATAATTATAAAAAATATTTAAAAAAAAAAGTATAATTTTTTTTAATAAGTGTCTACTAAATCCATAAATGTAATATAAACCCATAAATATGTAATATAATAAACTTAGAACTTAGAAATAAAATATAATTGTAAAATAATACAATTATAAAAATTATTAAAAATAAATAATAAAATTTAAAAGAATAAATCATAAAAAATAATGTATAAAAGTGTCTGCTAAATGTAAAAATAGTAAACTTTGTTTAGAGAAATAAAATATAATTTTAAATAATTAAAATACAATTATACAAAAATATTTTTAAAAATTATGTGTTAGTGAATTTAGAAAAATATATTCTACTTAAGGAGTAAATTGGCATAATTTGATTACTTAAAGGGGTCATATGTTGCGATTTCAAGTTTTCCTTTCTCTTTGGAGTGTTACAAGCTGTTCGTGAATAGATAAGATCCCTGAAGTTGCAAAGACTAAAGTCTCAAAACCAAAAAGATATTCTTTTATCAAAGTTAAGACTCTGCCACACCCCCCTAAAACGGCTCGTTCTAACACGCCCCCACGTATCTACGTCACTATGTGGAAATATTTGCATAATGCCTCCCAAATGTGCACGCAAAGAAAGAAGGCGTGGTTTCCCCCTTTAAACTATAATGTATTACATGTATGCATTTTAATACATTTATACATTTTTATTACATTTGTTTTAATCAAAGCGACTTACGTTACATTTGGGTTATGCACTTTTCAGTTCATGCATTTCCTGGGAATCGAACCTGTGACCTTGGCGTTGCTAGCGAATGCATTATGTATGCTTATTCACAAAACTTGTGTTGGACTGTGTTGTTGTTTTGCATTTCTACAAGTTGCAATTCAGTAAATCTTCTTCCTGTCATTCAAATTAAACATCCTGCATGATGGTTTCAGTTGAATTCATATTCCAGTTCGTGAACTGAAAAGGTGCAGAGTCTTAATTCTGAATTTTGATGATGTGTGGCGTCTTGCAGTGTTGTGGGTATTTATGGAAAAATGGCATCTTGTTCCTCCATTTTTATCCCATCCTCTTGCACAGCATGTTTTGTCCGCCCCACTTTCTGTGTAGTTATCTTCTGTTCTGTGGCGCGCAGTGATTCAGTGACGCAGTGTGTCTTCACTGAGTTAGGTTTGATAACACAGGGACGTTCGGCTCTCTGGTGGGGATCTGGCTGCCTGATATGAGCGATCGATGCGTCTTGGCCTTTAGGAAGCCCTTCTGTGTTTACTATCCTCACTGACTGTGTGTGGCTCTTTCCAGGTCACCTTCAAACCCAGCTCGTCCACTGCGGAGGTGCACGATGAACACATCAGAGGAGTGCTGAAGGTAAGAGCCAATCTGCCTCCTAATATTTGATCACATTTATATGGTTTATAAACACTGCTTCTTAAAGGAACAGTAGAATTTGCTGACAATTTGCTCACCCTCAGACCATCCGAGATGCAGATGAGTTTGTTTCTTCATCAGATTTGGAGAAATGTAGAAGCTCTGAACAAATACAGTATGTGACTGGATTTTGACGTGAGAGACAACAGGAGATGCAATTTTTCACTGGAGGAAGCGTTATTATGGATTATGGACTAATATTTGAGTTCAAAGCGTCTTAATGCTGGATTTGTTTCAGCTTTTGTCTTCTCCAGATGTTAACTGATGGACTGGAGTGCTGTGGATTACCTTTTTGACTTTCTTTCCTCCATTGTATGTGGAATAAATTAAATATTTTAACCCTGTACAGCCTGACATATGAAATAATAGTCTTATAAAAACCTGTTTATTGAAATTTTTTTTTTAAAATCAAATGTATTTTTTTTTGTTTGTTTGCTTTTTTTCTTTCTTTTTTTTTTTTCTTTTCTTTTTTTTTTTTTTAATAAAGGTTTGCATATGTATTTTTTGTTCACTATCATATTTGATACATCAGGCTTTTATGGCTCATATAGTCTGATACAGTGAGAATATGTATAATTGCGATTATATAAAAACAGTATGTACTTGTGTTAAATATATATTTGTAATAAATTATTAATATAAAATTACAGTTAATTGTAATTATTAATATATAGGGCTGTGAATCTTTGGGTAGACAGCGAGTCGATTCGATTCACGATTCATAGGTTTTCGATTCGATTCAAAAACGATTCGATTCTGCATTCTTTAAGTGCATTCACAGGATTATTTAAATGCTTAGTCAGGGGGGCAAATTACACCGCAGCCTTTATGGTTAGAGAACCATGGGTTAGAGAGAAAAAAAAAACACTTTTGTCCATTGTTAGATGCTAGTTTAATGATGCTATGGCATGACATTTTTTTTTTTTTTTTACAAGGAATTATTTTCTTATCTCTTACTTTGAATTTGCTATAAGAAATCAAATACACTGCTGGACAATAATCAATAATTTGCTATCTATAATTTTTCCTAATGGCAATTTTATGATTGTTTTATATACTACAAACAATTATTTCATTTTTCTGCACAGAATAAGGTAAAAAAGATAAATAATATAATTTATAGTTTCTGTAGGCTACTGTAATAAATGATATGTCAATTAGCACTGCATCATTCATAAATTGTATTTATTTATTGTGTTTATCGTCTTAACGTTTCAGTTCATTCTGCTGTTTATACAGTTTAGCTGCAGATATAGCCTGGCACGTGTATGAGCGCGAGATCACTTCTCTTTCAGTGCGAGAACTTCTTTATCTCATTTTCATAAAATAAAGTGCTATAGTATTTAACTTTTCCTCTCCATCAGCGAATGATGATTCTGAAAGAAAACGCGCCCGATGTCTGTTTGCTAAAGCAACGAACGCTAGATCATGCATCTGATTATCAGATAAACCTCGCGCTCTTATTTCAAGGTTGTTGTTAATGCTGTCGCGCCTGATGTCTGTTTGCTAAAGCAGCGAACGCTACTTTCATGCATCTGATTATCAGATAAACCTCGCGCTCTTATTTCAAGGTTGTTGTTAATGCTGTGGTTATTTTAACAGTTTCCTTCGTACATTCGGTTGAAGGACATTGTTAAAACACATTTATCATTCAGTGGAACTGTGCGTATGCTTTAGACACTTACATTTTTGTGCCATCCATGCAATAAATGCGCAGCCTTCGACTGCTCGGGTAATGTCGTTGGTATGACCGAGAGCCATTGAAAAACTACAGAAAAGCAAAACTACTTCACTTTAGCATTACTGGTCACGAGTACTAAGGAGAGATCACACATCAGCTGCTCAAAACATGTGTGAATGAGACGAACGGAGCGGCGCGAGTGCAATCCTGTGACAGTCACAGGCGGGAAATAGTGAAGCGTTTGAAGGAGAGATGCGAGGCACGAACACTGTTCAAGGTCTCCATTAATTCCTGCTTGTAGTAATTTAATGTGTATATATTTTGAAAGCATTGAATCGCTATAGAAATCGCGATTCATTAAATTCTTAGCATTTTAAATCGATTACTGTCCGAAATCAACGATTCACGATTCAAAAATCATGTTTCAAGATCGATGCATTGCATCGTCAGGCTTTGTCATCGATGCATAGAGAAAACGAGTGAATCGTTACACCCCTATTAATATACTATTATATTTATATATCAAATATGTGTATATTTATATAATAATATTTTTTTAATTGTCAAATGAAAACGTTTTATAATTAGGATTATATATACAGTGTGTGTATGTATATATATATATAAATTAAAATAAATTATGAATGTAAATATGATAGTGTATATGCATGTGTATATTATTATTATTATTATTATTATTATTATTATTTTTTTTTTTT